AGAGTGATTTTACTTGAAAGGTAAAACAGCTAATAACAACTAAGTGCAAAATAGCTACAAATAAACAAAAAAAGACGATAGAATTAGTGCGTAATAGTGCGTAGTATTTCACTACCTATTTCACGGGTTAAGTAAAATTACTTTGTTGACACCTTAATAAAGTTATATTATTATTCATTCAAAATATTTTCCCACTTCTGATTGGCTAAAAGCACACGTTTAATTCACCGTAACCAGTTACTGATGACCCAGCCTGGAAGAATTTTGTGTTTAACGAGGAAATGTCGTCAAAAATGCAGCGTTTTCGCAGGTTAAGGCACCGTTAACCGAGAAGACCTGGGGACGAGGTTGAGTTGTTTTCGTTGTGAACTTGAAGAATGGCGAACATTTCACCGGTTTCAAGAGTAAGAACTAGGCGAAAAAAAGCTAAAAACATGGCAAGAACAGCAAGAACACAACTCTAAGGGCGACATCTGCTATTTGGAGAATATTTGCGGAGCTGGACAAACCTAAACGTGCACTATTGAAGATGAACTTAACATCGATGGATCGGTGGAGGTAAGCATGTTTTAGCCATGTTTTTAAACTAGGAATTATTTTGAATGAATAATAAAACAATTATTGAATTCGGCTTTCGTATCATATAAAGAACTGTGGAGATCTAGGAGGGTGTTATCCGCCTCGGCCTACGGCCTCGACGGATAACACCCTCCTCGATCTCCATAATTCTTCATAAGATACTCAGCCTCATTCATTAATTGCTAAATAATAATAATAATAATAAAAATTATTATTATTATAATAATAATAATAATAATAATAATAATAATAATATCGGTGGAGTGTTTTCACAACCGGCTTAATTCCCTAAACAATTGGAGTTCCTATCCAATTTTTGTAGAAATCCGTGTATCAGTGTAATATTCTGGAAAACTGCTCATCTGCCTCATCCACTAGTGAGGGTAATTAGCAGAATTATCTTGCACCTTAAGAAGCCACCCTAATTCATCTTCGTTCCTTTTCAATACACTGATAGCCGTGGCCATTCAATTATACAAGGCTTAGGGCACGTGATAAACTGACAGTTTCTTAAAAACTCGTTCAGTTCTACGTTAAAAGTTTGTAGTGTGACTACGCCTATATTGTGCACTGTAACAGCGGGTCAATTACGTCGACTAACTCAGCACATAAAGCGACATAAACTGCAGTCAATTAATCCGTTATTCTTAGCGACAAAGATTCCATTTAAATTCAAACGAGTGCAAGAACTGCTTTAAAATTTAGCTGTTAGTCATAACTTGGGCACCTTCTTCGTATACAGTAAAAACCCGCGACAATTAAGAACGTGCATTTTCCAAAGTCAACCGGCTAAAAATGTTCTTACATATATTGCCAGTAATTAGCACAGATTAGGCTATGTAAGTTTTTAAATAGGTTGTTGTTTTGTTAAGAAAAAAAAAGTTCATTGAAGGTAAGAGTATTTAGCTGTATATTCAGGTTATTCCTTATATAAAATCTGCTAGGCTGCGTAGCAAACGTTTCCCGGTTTTCTCGACGAACTCGCGCGAAAACGCTTGCTACGCAGGCTAGGAATCTGCATATCATTGTTATTGCAGTTGGAGTGATAAGACACCTGTGTCTTCAAAGAGGATTCCGAATGTTAACTTATCTTATATGCCCAAGTGTACAGAATTGTTTTATAGATTTTAGAGAATAGCAACCTGTTTCAAATTTTAGCCATTACGGGTTCTTTTATATAGGGGACCTAACTGGCAAATTTTACCCTAACAGGTTCTTAAAAACGAGGTTCTTAGTTTACTGTAATCTATTGTAGTTACCAGGATACTTGTACTTCTTTAATTTCTTAGTATTTCTACGAATTGTTTTTTGACGGAATAAGGCTGTAAATGAACTCCTTAATTTGTCCTTGTTTAGTAGTGGTTCTTAAGGATGAATACCATACGCGGGTGTTTTTCAAGGAAAATGTAACACCATGGCAACAGATAGTTTGGTGTCCTTCAGTACCGTACCAGGACTGAGGGCCGGAAATTCTACATTCAAGTTCATATTCATCACCTTTTCTCAATAAAGCTGGCTCTTTAAACGTGACAACAAAGTCGTAGTCACTAGCTTCCGTTGCGCAGGATGGAGATGAAAATACACCATCTACAGAAGCAAGAACTTTTCCATCTAAGTCCTTGATAAGCGAAAGGGAAACAGAGTATGTATTATCCCTACTACCGAACAATTTCACCCCATGAAAGATTATGTCGCGGTCCACAGAAATACCCAGACAGGACTTGTCTGATTCTGAATTATTCCAACCAAACTTTATCGAGCTTCTAGTAAATCTGCAACAGGATTCGGAGTGGGAAGGACCCGATCGTTTGAAAACTGGAAAGTTTAAAAGAGAACTTTGCATTAAATTACACTGATGCTTAATGATAGCGTTGACCTCGTCATAGGTGAGTATTTCAGTGTCAAGTACCACAGAGGCAAAATTTTTCCGCTCCATCGCGGGAAACCGTATCGCTTTCACGATCCTTTCTCCGAGAATTTCTCTTATTTCTTGCCCGTCTGCCCTCACTAAGCCTTCTTTTTCCAATTGTTTTGTTGCCCATCTCATTAGTCCTTTAAACAATTCTACTTCGGCAATATTCAAAGTATCTCTTTTTACTATTGCTTCAAGTAAGGTTCTCTGAATTGTGACAAAGTCATCCGATTTCACGACAGCTTCCGTTTGTTCATCGATAACTTTCCAGCATTCCTCTTCCAGGCTTTTCTCCTCATACGTCTGAGCACATGACAGGATGCTTAAAACATTCGATGAATCTAAATTTTCTTTGAGATATTCTGTGCATTTATCGGAAAGTGAAGAGACCATATATTTCTTAGCCAAATATAGCACTCCCATCACATTACTTCCGCTTAAATTCACTTTATCACTGTACATAAAGCGAAACAACTCCAGTAGATTCCCATAATCACAATCGGGCAGTTCAATAGTGTCTTTGGTCTCCGCCAGGTCACCGTAAAACATTGCTTCAAACACCGGGCTACCAATCGCCAGTACAAACCTGTGAGCTGGGAGTACTTGTTTTCTTCCACTAACATCATCGACGCTTTCTCGAACAAGAAATTTGACGTCACTACAGCGATGGTTGTTGAGCATAACCTTGATTTTTTCTCTGATGGTTTTATATTTTTCTAATTTCATGAGAGACATGATTTGTTTAAAGTGGAGTATACAGGTCAAATATGTCTGACCTACTAACAAGCAATGCGTCTAAGAATTATTCGTGCGATTCAACATGTTTCAAGCCATTACGGAAATGTGCTGTCAGTAACGGTTATAATTAGTAATGGAATTTTTGATAAGCACGTGATCGGTAATAAATTATAATAAAAGCTCTCTAACTGAAAACCGACATTTACGTTTTTAAAGTAAACTACAGAAATAATGAAACCGAAAGTTTATATTTGAAAACTCTATCCAGCCTATTCCAGCTAACCTTCGATCTTAAAATTCATGCAAGTGTATATAAAACGTGTTACTACATACAAAAATTGCTTTGTCATCGAGAAACGGCGATTTTTTTGCGGCCGTGCTGAGACGAAACGCACAATATCGGAAAACACTTATAACCTGCGTAGTTGGCGGTGTCAGTCACATTGGCTCAATCACTATCCAAGCGTGTCTTTCCCCTTCCCCGAGCTTTAAAGCGAATAGCTTGGGATTTTAATGGGCTGGTATACTTTATTAGTGACCAATACTGACATTCAGATAAAATAATGTTGATTAAAAACATTCTTTTCTATTTCTTGTCACATTCGGAGTTAACAAACCATTAGCCCTAAAAAATGTTATGTATTACCCCAACTTTAATCAAAAAGAAAGAGATAACTAGCTATTTTTTATGTTATAAGTGTTGACTCTGATTGTTCGTTTACGAGACGAAGTTAACAGAAAAAGACTGACCAGCTGGTAATTCACAGGAAAAGTAACCGTCGCTAACGCGGAGAGCTTTAGTAGAGCTAGAAATCAAATGAGGTCTCAAAACATTCGCAAGGTGAGCTTCGACTATAGTTTTAAAATTCTTTTAGCTATAGTATACAACTGTACAATTGAGTGTAAATCCCGGATTCTAATTGGTTAACGCACTCGCTTTCTGAGCGGGCTAATATAGACAGACTTTCTAGAAGATGGTTTTGGTTGGGTCCTTTGTAGACTTGCTTCAAGTCGACCTTACGAGTTTCTTAGCGAGCAGCTGCCAAACGAAAGAAGTCGCGAGAGGTTTTCATGCGCCATCATAGTTAAATCGGACGAAGGACTTGTTTGAAAGTCTAGGGGTGCTTACCATTTGACCAACAGGGGCACCCAACGATAATTTAGTTCAAAACCGCTAAAACATAGCATTGTTAAACGTATTTTGGTATTTAAACGGTAGATATAGGCATATTTTTATCCCCTAAAAATTTTTCATCTGTTCGGATTTCCTAACTGAAAGTCTAGTGATCCGAAAATTATAGGGATCAAAACTTACCTTTTCGAAAATTTCAGCCAGAAAAAAGGCTCCTGAAAATTCTAGGTGACCTTTTTAGGGTAAAAATCCGTTAAAAATAGGCAATTATACCATATTTTAGATGTTCGAAAATCCTAGGAGAAGCAGGTAAGCAAGAAATTTTACAGCAAATATTCCGAAAATTCTAGATCTCAAACCGTCTTCCGAACAGATATTTTTCCGAGAATTGTCGTTGTGTGCCCCTGGACCAAAACATCCGGTTGGGGTGTCGAAAGCATAATGGTAAGCGATTTACCAGTTTACCGTAGAATTGCCACATCCGTTACGGTTTAAATCCAAAAAAAGGGCGAATATTGTGTATCGTGAGTCTTGAACCGAGAAGGAACCGAGAAAGTGATAAATGGTAAGCACATTCCGTTTGGTTCGTACCAACCGGAATGAACGGACTACCTCAAAACGTACTCCTCAATTTTCGGTTGGAATTTCCGAAAAGTTACCTTACTATTTACCTTTCATCCGGAATTTCCTAAATTTCCTATCAAATGGTAAGCACCCTAGGTTCTTGGGAAAACGACTCTAGTTTACCTACCTCTCGCACGTTCCCGCTCGACCTCGTCTCTCAAAAAAGTCGACTTGTGAGCAAGTCTAAAAAACCAACAGACAGCAGCTCGAAATAAGGTTATGTTCACACTGTATACCGGATAGCTATTACGAAAACCATACCGCGCGAATAACCAAGGGCTTCTGTTCACACACATTAAGAACGGTGATTTCGGCGCGATATCTTAAGTGGAGAGTCCCATATTGGCCGGGATAGGTGTTCAAAGCTATCCGGTACTAGTAAAATCCAACTAGTGGTCTATCATCAATGCTGCGTTCTGATTGGTTGAGCTACTACTAGACTATATGTTATGGCCCACTAGTAGCGAAAAACGCCGGCTTTTTGGCGGCAAAAAAGAATTAAAGTCTGGCTTTATCTAGCTAAAGTTGTTTTGTCTCGATATTTTTTGACCAAATAGTTGGATTTACTAAAACAATTATTCCATTCTGGCTCGAGAAATATTGTTAACTAGTGTGAGCCACACAGCCTAAAGCTACCAGACCATCTGACTGAAAACTGGAAACCATTCAAGGTTTCTTGCTGTTTGCTTGTTGGCTTCGTCATTCTAACTATTATTTTTTCTTGTCATATCTAATTTTAATATCAAATTTATTTTAATTATTTTCTCAACGTTAAACTCAAAAGATGTATCCTAATATACGTTTTATATGTGTCAATCAATACGCACACTGAGCCTAGAGTTTATATGGAGTGAAAAAACCTGGAAAGTATACTGGCATATACATCAAGTTACATACCGGTAGTCTACGTTGTTCCTATGGTCACTCTGTCGAGGAACCAAAAAATAGTCTCTTGGTCCGATTCAAATTACACTAAGAAGGTGATGTATCTAATTTAGGGTATTGCTGAAGACAGTAATGCTGAAATCATCATCAACTATTCGTACAAAAATCTTGGGTGTGTCTCAAATTAAATCATTTGATCAATTCGTAGAACAGTGAAAAAAAGGGTACGATGCAGTCGACTCTTGTAAGACATTATTTACATCAGATCAAATCATGCATGGAAAAAGAAGAAAGCCAATTGTGCATTTTGACAAAGTGCCACTCAAAATTTGTCGATTTTCTCGTTTATGAAACGCTTTCTATCAAAAGAGCTTCGATCCCATGTTTTATGTGAGAAATCGAGCCCAATCTATAGAGGAAGGATGAGTCTTCTCGATGCGAAACTGTTTCTTTAACTTTTTCTCTGTGTTTCAAATCATTAAAGAGACCTTTAGACATATCAGCAGATATTTATAGTTATTTCAGTTCGAAAATTGCTTCTTGTTCAGAGGTATCAATGTCCATCATTGAAATTGCCTCATACGCATGTCTACTCGCTAAGGATAATTATTCACTGGCTAAAAGCCTGCTGCAAAGGATTTCTTTCTGGGATCCGCCTTGCCATATATTTTTCCATCAGGAGCTATAGCCGCGGCCTGTACAACTGCGGTGATGGTTTTTGCCTGAATGTCGTTGTGCCCAAGCCTTCGTAGTCCCGCTTGGAGGTCTTTGGATATTGGGTAGAATTTATCAATGCGAATGTAGTCCGGAAGTAACTGATGATGAACCCTGGGGTCCAAGATAGCTTCCGATAGATTTCGGCCGAACCAGAAATAATTCATTACAACCTGAACAGGTGGAAAGAAATGGCAAAATCATCAAATGAAATCATTGAATCTTCAGTTCAAAGGAAAAACAATTTACTTGTTCACAGGTGTAATTTCAGCGACTGTTAAACGACTTGATGTGTCGGGTTTTTTTGTGGCCCACCAGAAGAAGATCTTCAAAAGAAGATTACATGCATCACCGAGACGTTGAACTCAAGGCTACAGAGTACAAAGGAGCGAAGGGATACTTCATACCCCCGAGGGGGGACTCCCTTAAAGGAACCTATACGGGGATGTGCCGCTTTACAGAGTATGGTATTCGTCCTCTCTGCCCTAAACAAGATATTTGGATGTATGAGGACGTCACAATCGAAGTACTATAGTCGCACATTAAACAATAGGCCGTTGATTAGAAACAATACTTATAAGACATTTTTTATAGACAAACTCCGCGTTCGTAGGGTGTCAAGAAAATAGTCACTAGAAATCTCACCAATGAGATAGCAGTGGTGATTCGTGTGCCCCCTGATGCTCCAACCGCCAAACGAGGAACGCCCCTGCTATCCACAAATATTGAAGGGGTCATTGAAGACATTGGACGTTTCCCGGCTTTAATAAAGTTGCTCTCCGATGGCTCGACGCCAAAATTGTTCTTTTTACCAGGGGTAGAGAAGTCGTCCATCTCGTTGTTGTAGATAATACCAGTGCGAGTAGAACGATACTTACAACCATAGCTGCCGGATAGGCAAAATGAAAAAAAAAAATCAGTAAGTAACTAGTTACACAAAATTAAAACAAATACTCAGTTATTTCATTCACATTATATGTACAATATAGTAGGGGCGCCACCTCCCTAAGTGGGGTGGTCTGGGGGGAGAAGTGGAAGGGTGAGTCGATGAGAGGAAAAGTATCTGACATTGCCAGAACTGTTTTTATCACAAATATTATCATCATCATCATTATAATCGTCATCATCATCATTATCATCTTCATTATTAGTATTGGTTGTGCACGGTGTCCTTGTTATAATTACGCATGGGCCACTTCACATTTAGTTTCTAATTGTTGTCTTAGTCGGCACAGCATATGTGGTATCAAGTAGTACACACTAGTGCCATTGTAGAAAAGTACTACCAAGCAGCTTTCACACATTGCAAAACAAGGGACACCAGCTATAATTTTCGCCAGTTCAGACTAGAAATCCTTCAATCGCATCCTTGACTTGTGGAGCATGATTGTTCACACGATCAGCCAATTGAAAGCAACTGTTGTTCAACAGCTTGAAAAGATTCGAAAACCAGCAAAGTAGAACTGTCCTTTTGCCGTATGACAACAGTACCATGCACCAGGAGTTTGTTCTCTATCCGTTACGACACCGTTAAAAATCAGCCTGTGTAGGTCCTGTAAAGCTGTCGACTTTCGATCCACAACCACTAGATCACAGGCACTTATGTGTGGTCGCCGTGCTGTCGTCAAGAAAAACCCCTTTTACATATAGACTGATAAGTTGAAACTCGGGGAAAGGGGGTAGGCAACTTAAGAAATTACTTGTGAAAGACAAAATCACGGATTCGAGTAATACAAATATGTCCACGAAGCATTATATCAAACCATATCGAACGTCAGGGGTTATAAATCAGAACAGCAAAAAGTGAACTTTGACAAAACCTTAGGCTAACAAGTTTTTATAAAAATCGCAATTGTAATGGCAATTGTAATGTTTTGGTGGCAATTTTAATACATTTCTTGATACAGCTCCTTTTAAGTAGTCTGCTCGGCACAGCCGTTTTTAGTGTCGTCACGCAACGCTGCTCCCCACCTCCTCCCGGGGAGGAGCGTTGCGTGATGACTCTAAAAACGGCTGTGTAGCAGACTACCTTTTAAGGGGAGTTCTCAGTTTGCTTTCTGGATATTTTGTAAGAATAACAAACCTACGTACTAAAGGTTTATGGTATTGGTAGCAGCAACAGCATCCCCGTCAGGCGAAATGATGGAAAGATGTGAAGTCCCTCCAACATTTGTACTGGAGTAAAAATCTCCGTAATATCTGTAGTCCTGAAAGGTCCGGTTATCATAAATCTTGTGGCGAAGATAATCTCCATACTTACCACTGGTCATATTTTTCACGACCTGGTAAAAGAAAGAGGTAGATCACATCGTAAGGATTGATGCCAGCAAAAGTTCACTGCAGGTGGGCATGCAGGAGGAATTCATGGTAAAGTGGCTAAGTCACGAAGGTCTTGCTGTCCTAGATCAAATCTGCCCTGACTGATCCTGACTTGTCATTACTTAGTGCCTTCACTGGCAATACACAAATGCTTTTGTATGTAGAGTAATGAAGATGCTATCAAACAATTTCATCAGGGAGCACTAACCATAATCATTTTAAGTATAACAAAACTAGACCCTTATTTTTGGAATTTAATTGATGAAAGGACACGCACGTTTTAGTGTTTTAAAAAAGAAAGAAAATAGCGTGACATAGCCACGTCCAAACTGGCACACTACCATTCTTATAATTACAATACCAAATTATTCACTGAACCGGCACACGTACCAAATCCGCGGTATGGCCAGTACCTTGTGCATGCGCACAACCATATCACCCCGGCAGTGGCAGCCATAGCGGAGTTGGTACGTGTGCTTCAGTGCATAAATTGGTATTCTTATAATTACACTTCATTACGCATTTTGTTTCTAATTGCTGGCATAAAATGCACTGTCTATGTTTCATTTTACTCGTGAAGGATACAGCTTTGAAATGTTCGTCTCATTTGTACAAAAGAGATTAATTAATCTTGTTCAGAGTTCGTTAATTGCAAAAATTTGACTGAGCTGTATGGACGCTTTTGTAAGCTTCAAATTTACTTCTCTCTTATATCCTTTTTTCGCCAGATCTGCTCGATGATATACTCCGTCACTTAACCAGCTCTTCAGCGCAAATAATGCATTTCAAGAGGAGCTTTCTTTACTTTCCCTAATGACGGTCCAAAACCGTACTGAGTGACAAAAATTAACCGTTGCTGCACTTTTGCGAAGAAGTCTATCGTTATGTTTATACGGCATTAAACGAATTTTCGACCAGTTGAAAACATTGATAAGTCACATGGGCTATAAGAAACATGGGTTTCGACTAAATAAAGCCGGTTAAATTTTTGTTTAATAAAGTTGAATTATTGACATTGAAGTAGTTCATTAAAACTTTGGACGGCTAGGCGACAAAATTTTCGTGTTCCTTGTCTAAGCTGAACATCTAAACGCACAAATTTTCAACCGGTCGAAAAATCCTCCGTTGCCTTATGAACGCAGCCTATATTACCCTCTTACCTCACTCACGTCCCAGTAGTCTTCATCTCCTAGGAGTGCTCTGTACGCATAAGCAAACTTGAAGGCCTCTATTATTCGATGGTACGTCAGAATCGAGCTATTGAGATCTTTGCGGCTATCTTGTGTAAAATTGTAACCTGTATATAACGTTAGAGACGGGTTGTCTTGTATAAGGTTCACGTTTATTAGTGAGTAGGGCGAGTACGTTTCCTTTCAGTGTGCGACTGAATATGTTATTCATGTTCAAAACGACCCAAAAACAAACAAGGAAACTGAAAATTAAACAGGGGCAAAATTGAATCGCAACGAGGAAACTTTAAACAGACGAAACAAGCCGGTCTGCTCTGTGGGAAGTTCCTTCAGCTCCAATGCGTTCAAGGGAATCTGATTCCAAAATTAGTTAAGTTCTAGAGAAAATCACATTGCAGACGGTCATATGTACTTTCCCTTCTTTCGCAGGAGCTTCTTTAGGCGGAATTGAAGTCTCTATGGCCAGTGGAGACCAGTTTGGATCACGCGATCAATCTCCATTATCCACTATTGCTTCTTTTACGTGTAAAACACGCTCTCGGCTTATTGTCCAATATACGAGAGATAAATGCTTGACGCCCTTTTCGCATGCGCACCAAAATCAAGTCAAAGAAACACGCCATGTCAGCGATCGCTAAAATAAAATGAGAACATTTGTCTGTGGCGTTTAAGATCGTCTGGCTTAAATGCTTGACGCCCTTTTCGCATGCGCACCCAAATCAGGTCAAAGAAACACGCCATGTCAGCGATCGCTAAAATAAAATGAGAACATTTGTCTTTGGCGTTTAAGATCGTCTGGCTTACGCCCGACTCAAACAACTTCAGATAGGGTCGCAACCATCCCAGACCGTTACAAATTTTATAAAGACCATGTTTTACTTGTGAACATAAGTTATTTAACAATTAATGAGAGAGGCTGAGTATCTTATGCAGAATTATGGGTGTTATCCGTCGAGGCCGTAGGCCGAGGGGGATAACACCCTCCGAGATCTCCATAATTCTTCATATGATACGAAAGCCGAATTCAATAATCGTTTTATTATTCATTCAAAATAATTCCTAGTTTAAAAATGAAGCTAAAACATGCTTACCTCCATCGATGTTAAGTTTACCTTCGATAGTGCACGTTTAGGGTTGTTCAGCTCCGCAAATATTCTCCAAATAGCAGATGTCGCGCTTCGAGTTGTGTTCTTGTTGTTCTTGCCACGTTCTTAGCTATAATTTCGCCTAGTTCTTACTGTTGAAACGAGTGAAATGTCTGCCATCTTTTGTTTTCACAACCAAAACAACTTAGCCTCGTCCCCAGGTCTTCTCGGTTAACGGTTCATTAACCTGCAAGAACGCTGCATTTTTGACGTCATTTCCTCGTTAAACACAAAATTCTTCCAAATTTGGTCATCAGTAACTGGTTATGGTGAATTATGCGTGTGCTTTTAGCCAATCCGAATCGGGGAAATATTTTGAATGAATAATAAGATTGGTTAATAGTTGCCTTGAATACCATTCGACGAATAATAATGAACAGTTGCCCACCCAAACAATCCTAGAAGTCACTGCTTCCATCTAATGGCCATAATGCGTGACTAATCTACATCACTTCTATAGTGTTGTTCATGCACGTGAATTGGTCAGCACACTATAATCACAGCTTATTAAACTAATGAATTTCATTCTATGTAAAGAAAAAACAAAGAAAACAGTTGTCCATATATATAACTCGTGTACTGACAAAATAATATAGAATTTACCTTTTAGTATGTTGAGGATCATCGAAAGCACGGCACCGCTACCAGGGGGTGGGTTAGTATACCACTTTAAATCTCCCATGGTATCAGAAAGCGGAGTTCGAACTTTGGCTGTGTAATTTTTCATGTCCTCTAGTGTGATTATTCCTCCACCGTCTTGAATATCTTTCACAATACTTTTAGCCAGTTCACCAGAATAGAAGCTATCCGGCTCATCGCGAATTGTCTCCAGAGTTCTTGCATATTTCGGCATTTTTAGAACAGTTCCTAATTTCTTCAAGTTACCCGCTTTGTCTATAAGAAGCTCGCTGGAAAGTAATTAATGATCAGTCAATTTTTTTTAGCAACAGCTCTTCGTCAACTTAACAAGTAAATTCCATTTTTGCGCGTCTCTCAAGGATGTTGCCCAGACTAGCTGGTCACTATGTTCTTGACACAACTGATCTACATGTAGTTGACTTCTTCCGTCCATCTGGAGTGTTCTGGATATTTTTGTTTTGTTTTTAATCCGTTCGTTCGTTCGCTCGTTCGTTCGTTCGTTCGTTCGTTCGTTCGTTCGTTCATTCGTTCATTCATTCAATCATTCATTCATTCATTCTTTTTTCATTGATCCCTCAATTCATTGACTCATTCATCCATTCATTCATTCATTCATTACATGTAAGTATTTATTTTCAGTTTGCCAAATATATATATGTTGCAGTTAAATTTTTTATTTCAGTCTTTTTTTCAATTTAATTGAAAACAAAAGAAAAACAAAAATTACCTGAAATAAAAACTTAACTGCAACATATACTTAAACCGACTGTTTCGTTACGTTTGATCACCAGCAAAAGAGAATGAGCTGTCATGTACTTTGTATGTAGAATTTAGTTTCCGTTCTGTTTACGGATGACAGGAAAATCTTTTAGCGGGGGAAGGGTGGGTGTCCTGGATACCTAACACTCAATTCAAGTCCTTCATCGTGAAAATCTAGCCTGCGGGTGGTTCCTTTCAGTGAGTCAACTTTGATCGATTTGCTCTTCCTTCCTAGGAAGATATAAGCAATCTAAAAAAGGAATCTTATTAGATTTTATGTATTCAAATACTGAAAGTATTCAGTTTATAGCAAGGTCATAATACTCCTCCAAAATTCTTCACGTACTATCGACACTGAAATCAAAGCAGAGGAACAACACAGAAATAATGGTTCGAGTGTGGAAACAAGTTAGATAGCCACTGCTTTACCTCAGTCCGGGGTCTTTCTTGATATAGGGTAAGGTAGATGACCTATTAGCTGCTGCATGGGCTGGATAGCCGAAACGAAACCCTTTCTTCGCTAGGTCAATAGCGGGTTGTACAAGATCCTCCCAAGGTAATCTACCATATTTATTCCAAGCTTTACGAAATCCTCTCACTTCACCAGGGACACCTGACGCTGATGTTCCTGTACCAACGACGGGGGAAGAAACAACGATGTAAGAATCAATGATGATTCAATAATGTGACAATCATGTAAGAATAGTGGGCGAATAATGTGACCATAATGTAGCAAAGTACATGTAAATAATTATGAGGCGACTGGGGGCATCTTCATGTCAGATTGACTAGCCCGCTAAGTCGGGGATTAGCACTAGCTACCTGCGGGCTGTGCACTTTTGGGAAACTTGAATTAAGGAAAAATAAAGATTATTATCATTTGATGCAAAAGTTTCTCCCTTCTCATTGGTAGGGAACCCACCACGTTACCTGAAAATAACTGCCCTCTAAAAATAATGGCCTGCTCGTACGCAATGTCGCCCAACCGTGTTTGGCTGCAAATAATATTCTGCTTGCGATCGCATCTTTCGTGAAAATGGCAAATAGCTACGTTTCCCGAAAATATTCAATAAAAAAACAAACCCGGTGATCGCAAAACATCGTAATTTGTCAGTGTCTGGCAGATTAATTAATCAGTATTTGCCTCAGCCTTTTGATCTGCGCTTCTGACAAATCACGATATCTTGCTTAACCTCGTCCAATAATTGTTAACTGTTGTTGTATTGTTTTTTTTTTGCATGTGAATAGTTACACTGAATGCAAATAAATAATGATGAGCATTTGACCTGACAACGTTAACTGAGAAAATAAGGTGAGAAAAGAATGTGGATTACATAATAAGGCTTAACCATCTGGAAAAGAACGTGAAAAAATTTAGGCAAGACCGCGCTTCGAGTCATGACATTTACGTTGAGATGACCGAGCGACACGTTCCATCCAGTTATCCACGACGAGCTAGCCAAGCAAAGACAGTCAATTGTCAAGGACATTCGGAATCGCTGGAGCCAAACAAAACGCGCGAAAATTGCTATCCACTGATTTGGCCAATACTAAATGAAAAATAATCAATATAATTGTGACATGCGGATGTAAAACATGGATGTAATCCTCTCAGTTATATAGGGTGACAGGATGTAGCAACAGGAAAACTGATCGTTTGGACTATTCGATCGGTTACGTTCACTTGGCAAGGCTGTCGGTCTCATTTTAGCTTGTACCTGGTATGTGTCAACTCCGATATAACACACAATACTATATTCGTAGCATTGCGCTGCTAAAGCCCAAAAAAATAACTAGAGATAAAGAGATAAAAAATCAAGAGAGAATGCATTAAATGCACGTCAGTAATTGTGAATCTTACCATATTTGGAATTAAGGGTGCTATTTATATACATAGTAGCGTTTGCTCTTCCAGGTGCCTCTTCTCTATAGTCAATCACTTCCGCCTTGTTCGTGCTTCGATTGTAGATCGTCATAAATCCGCCGCCTCCGATACCAGCCGAGTGCATATTGATGACGCCTATACAAAATAATGTAGCAATGGCAGAGTCGACCGCTGACCCGTTCTTCTTGAGAATATCTCGGCCCACCTCAGAGCACAAACTTGCATCAGCTGCAACAACCCCGTGGTCATAAGGGCCGTCTGCTCCGGCAGGAACTAAGGAAAGTCAAGATACAATTTATGGAATAGCGATGTATGAGGCTAATCCGTTGTGGTGTTTTGTATAAATGAGCAATAGATCTTTTTCAATAATAAGTCACGTGATCAACTTTCTGTAAACACGAAAACAGTTCGCTTTCGGAAAATTATTTTAGCAGGAACTACTAACATATTTTTTTTTTTTAACAGATCAGTGTGTTTACCAGCTTACCTCCTGTGGGTAGGGGCGGTGGAACATATTCTGTGGGCGTGGGGGTTACAGTAGTGGGTTTCGCTTCTTTGTCCTTGGCTAACACCAAGATCAGAACGACACAAAGAATGATGATTGCAACCACAACAGCCACGATCACAGTGATTATTTTGCACCTAGTAGAACTGAAATGAAAAAAGGAAAATGATCCCTTCATTTAATAGGACTACAAAGACACTCGGATTTTACCTGGATTAGCTTAGCCCAGATTTTCTGTCAGTGGGTCCGCTCTAGCCTGCGTAGCTGATCGGAGTGGAAGAGTGTTGTAGTTGTATTTGGCAGCAGAGATGCGAGAAGCGGATTGGTAGGAGACAAATTGAGATGTTCTCTCCTGTTTCGCCGCCAAAGAAGTACCTTGGGCATTAAAACCCCGTCAGTTGCGTTGGCTAGTGGGTCTCCGAAGATGAAAATAGAAGAATATGCGCGATTTGACTACTTAGGGGAGAAAAAAAAAACGGGGGGCCGGGAAATATCTTGAAACGTTCAACAAGTAACGGTAACGGCCAGAATTTCATTCTCTCAGGTTGCAAAATCACATGTCTAGGCAACCTGTGCAAATCGGCCGAGTGTTATTAACTTTTGTCCCACTGGGCGCTGAACAGTCATTGTGTATGGATTCCACCTTAAAATAGGCTGACTCGTTGTTTTCTGGAGTTTTATCAACTACTATTCGTTTGTTTACAGAAAAGCTTCGAATCCGTACATTCAGCCTTAAATTTCCACCTCGCCAAGGCCGGGGATTTGAAATGGCCCACTTATCAAATTAACAACCAAATAAAACATTTCATAGATAGCCTGCGAGCAAGTTCTTATGAGTTGTAAGTGGGGGAGGGAGGGAGGGAAGGAAAAGATAGTTTTTGCCTTATTCCCCCACCTTTCTCCGGCCGAGAGCTAGAAGGCTACACCATATACTAATAAGAAAGGTTAGCTTTATATAAAGAGCTGTAAACCAAACGTTATTCTAGTTTGTCAAATTTTCGTTCCCATTCTGTCACCTTTTCTACGGCTTTGCTGTTGGGATCAATGCTCAGTCTAGCTTTTGTAAATTAATTCAGTTTACTCACGGCGTTTTCTAAATACAAGATTTTGCACATATCCGCCTTTCTGTATTCCCTTGCGGCGGTTCAGAGAAGATTCACAGAAAGGCTGGGCTTTCTGTTCAGAGTGGTCAAAGGAGAGAAATCATCAAAAAGTCTGGTACTTCAATAACAGAGTTTGTTACTTTTACTGTTAAAAGTTTTATATATAACTGTGAATTTCCTTTAATTTACTAAACCTATATATTTACTTACAATCTGCTGCCTTTATCAAACTCTATATCCACGGGTTGTTCATCTGAAGACAGTTTATTTAGTGCTCTGAAGATGTGAAAAAGGAAGAGGATACACTAGTTTCCAGTTAATTCTCGACAGATTCCGTTTGTATGTTTGTTTGTTTAATTGTTTTTCTAACAAAGGAATTCACCTGTCGGTTTTCTTGTCGTAGTGGCAGGTGATACTTGCTCATCCTAAACTTATTTAGCAAGATTTTTGCTACGGGGTCTTGTTTATGACACTTTTATTGGCCAAAATTTCAACAGCCATCACTAATGTTGCGAGCCACCTGCACAGAGTAAGATTCACAACTGGTTCTTTATGAAATGAGCTTTGTCAGGCAATCTATCGAAATTCAAACGGTGTGGACTGTCACCAAATTAAGATAAACTTTAAAACAACCGTTCAAAACTTTAAAAGAAGATATCAGTAGACAAACCAACAAATACAAAAGGAGGAATGGATGAACAAAACAGAGAACTAGATAAAAACGGATTGCAATTATGGTAACTGAAAACGTTTTAGGCTAGCAGTTTTTCAAAGTTCATTTTTTGTTTGAAATGATGGATAATGCTTCGGAGATATTATTTGTTTAACGTGAAGCTGTAATCACTTTGCTAACGTTAGGTTCCATCGCGATTAAGAACGTGTAATTGGTACAAACAAAACTGAACTAGACAGCCGTTTTTCACAGCCTCCTAATTAAATAGAAGGTTTCTAATGCCAATATGGTTTTTTATTAAAGACAACAAGGGCTCACAGTCTGGGAAGGTACTCGACAAAGGATGTATCACCTCCCCTTCCTCGGTTGTCCCCTCACAATTCTTCTAGGTAAAATTTGGCTTAATTTTACAGTATCATTGGTTTAAATAAGCTGAATAAGACATTTGACACATTAATAGCCTGTTCCAGGCTCTCAGATAGTGAGGAAGACGCGAAAGGAAAAGGCTCGCGAAAAGTTGGCGGGGCGGGAAAAAGGAAAAAGGAAGGGAGAGAGTCCGCCGCCCCCTCTCTTCCCAGTTTCCTCCCGTTTTATTTTCGTGTTTGCGCTTTCTCAATTCAGCGGACCCGACTATCTCGGAGCCTGGAACAGGCTACCACATTAACCGTTGTCGATACGCCTAATTTCTAATAATATTACAATCTTTATTCGTGGTATTCTACAAGGAATTACCTTGAAACATGGAGTTTTGATTTTCCAAAATAGGATTTTGATTTCTTAAAGGACGTCTTGGTTCCGAGGTGGGACTTCGATTTCTCATGATCCGCACTTTTTCTACTTTCCGAAATTGACCATCGCGAAATGTTCACTCGTTGGTACTTTAACGAAAGCTAGAGAGTGATCGGACTTTTCTTTTGTGCATTTCAACAAGTCATGATCATTCTCACCTGCACCTTTTTCTCGATCAAATTAAGAACAAAATCCTTTCCTAACAATGAAAACTACTGATCACAGATATGCAAAAATTTACCATTTTACTGACTCACTGTACGCCAATGAATGAGATGTGAGTCTCCAAAGTTTTTTCTTGTTTCATGTTTTTTCGTTTTTAAGATCAGAAATGCTAAGAGAGAGGCTTTACTATGACAAATTACAAGTTTTTCGCAAGTCACACAAACTTCAGACAACGTATGTACTAGAAGTGAATATTTCAAAACGCACCAAATTTTCGCCACTACATAAACTACATGAGAGAGAGTCAGGCTTTTGTCACATAGATTTATAGGATCACGTTATGAACAATATAAATTAAACAGCCATTGGTTATGATTGCCTTTGGATACTATCGGCAAATCATAAATAAACATTTTCCACCCATCGATCCCAGAAATCCTTGCGACAGCTTGTACCTATTCTTCCCATAGTTCATTTAGGGAGTGGCGAGGCACTGATTTCTAATAATACACTTTGTTTGGTCT